AGCTTTTAATTTTTCAACATTATTCTAGCATACACTCGCTTGTATTCGCGTTCTGTCAAATTGTTGTAACCTTTAAAAAAAACTACAATCAAACGGTTTTCAATAATCGAAAAAATGTATAATATTTAGCCTTGAAATATAGACGAAACAGCAGATGACAGTTCCGGGAACAAGGTTTTCGGGCACAGTAATGATGAGATCAAAAACCAAGAAAGTAAGATTGTATTAAGTTTCGTATAGAATATAGTATGAGTTTTGCCAGAAAATTCGTATCGTTTACAATGATAACTGAGCTCACTATTTATAGCTATGTCTAGGTAGAAGTGGCAAGTGGGTCGGGCCCGGTGGGATAAATTAGTTCATGGATTATAATCCGAGGATTATAATTGCGGGATAATTTAGTCCGCGTACCAAACGACCCCTTACTTTTTTGTTTTTGGATATCTTATAAAGGAATTTGATATTTGCAGCATGAGATATTGGATGAAGAGTTGATTAGGATGAAAGAGGAGAATAAGAAGCTAACAACAATACTAACAACTTTGTGTGAGAACTACAATTCCTTGCAAACTCACCTAATTGAATTGCTGCAAAAACACAACTCAGAGGATCACAATTCCAAATTATTATCAAGAAAAAGAAAGGCTGAAGATGATCACAGTTGTGCTAATTCAGAAATCATATTTGAAGAAGCATCACCTAAGAGGCCAAGGGAAATCAGAACCAATGTTTCAACTGTTTGTGTAAAAACTACTCCCTCCGATCAAAGTGCAGTAAGTCTGATTTTATTAACAAATTTCGAGTATAAACTCTCGTAATATCTTATTAAATTTGTTTTTTGGGTCCGATTTTCAGGTGGTGAAAGATGGATATCACTGGAGAAAATATGGTCAAAAAGTCACAAGAGATAACCCTTCACCTAGAGCCTACTATAAGTGTTCTTTTGCACCATCATGCCCAGTCAAGAAGAAGGTCAGTTCATGCAACCAATCTTCTTAATTTGACTAAATGCGTAAAAGAATATTATGAATGTACTCTGGTGGTAAATTTTCATAGGTAAAAATTTATCTACACTCGATGTTACACCAAATCGGTAAAGGAAAGACATTATAATTTTCATACAAACATATATCATTTGACCATGATTAAACGAAATGTATTATTATAAACTGTTAACATTAAATTGTGTGATTTGATATAAACTTGAGTGCATGTAAGATTTACCCTATTCTTATACTCACACTTAGACTAGAAAAATCATATAATATTACTGTATTAGTTTTTTTTCCCACTAAATGAATGAAACTCAATTTGTAGGTGCAAAGAAGTGTTGAAGATCCATCAGTTTTAGTAGCTACATATGAGGGGGAGCACAACCATCCTCTCCCATCCCAAGCTCAAGTTACAGTGCCATTAATTAACCAAAATGTTACAACAAATCCTACATTTCTGAACAAATTCATGGAAGACATTGACACAACTTCACTACAGCAAGATTTAGTCGCACAAATGGCATCTTCCTTGACCGAGAACCCTAGTTTCACAGCTGCAGTTGCTGCAGCCATCTCCGGGAATTTTTTTGAATATGATTAATTAGGTTTCAAATGAAGCAAAGTTACAGTTACTCAGACGGTTTCTGTTTTTTCATTGAGATTGAAATGAACCTAATCTAAATTTACCATTTTGAAAGGATGTTTTCTTTGCTATAATAACTGTTTCTTAGTTCTATTTTCCTAATATTTGGCCTGTACTAGAATAAATTTACGGAACAGTAAAGACAATATATATAGGGCAAAATATTGTCTTTAGTATTCTGTAAAGTCAATCTTGGGAGCAGATATTAGGATTGATTCATAAATATATACGCCATAATCGCATAAGTTTACATGACATATAAAAAAGAAAAACCGTTATAAATGATTTTTGTTATAAATAGAATTGTATTTAAGGTGAATGTCTATATTTAGAGAAATTTTAGGCTTTCTTACTTGGTGGCTAAGTCACTTTTTTCGAGAGGTTTTATTCCATTGTAATTCATCCCAAAATTAATAAAAACCCTCTCTCTCTCTCTTTTCTGCAATATTCTTCTTTTCCTTTATTGTTTTATTTCACATTATCAGTACGAGATTTTACCGTCTCAAGAAGCTCTTTGAGACGACTAAGGTATAATTTTTCTCCTCTTTTAATTATGACTGATATTATAAAAAGAAAATTCGTTGCCCTTAAAATTTCGAGAAAGAACTCTATGTCATGGGTGTTGGATGCTGAAATCCATTTATATGCTATGGGTCTTGGAGACACCATTAAAGATAAAACTAAAGCATCTACCCAAGTCTGTACTAAGGCCTTCATTTTTTTGTGCCATCACCTTGATGAAGGGTTGAAAATAGAAATATCTCACAGTCAAAGATCCACTTGTTTTGTGGAATGGCTTAAAGGAAAGACATGACAACTTAAAGTTGGTCACACTTCCACAAGCACGATATGATTGGGCTCATCTGAGGATCCAAGACTTTAAGTCTGTTTCTAAATACAATTCAGCGATGTTTAGAATTACTTTTAAATTGTAGAGATAGTATCACTGACTATGATATGCTTGAAAAAACATTCACAACATTTCATGCCTCCAATATGGTCCTGCAACAGCAGTACAGAGAGAAAGGTTTCAAGAAGTACTCTGAGTTGATTTCTCTTCTCCTTGTGGCTGAACGAAATAATGACTTGCTCATGAGAAGTCACGATAATCGACCCACTGGGTCTACACCATTGCCCGAAGTGGATGAGGTGTATTCCCATTATGCTAAGCGTGAAAAAAGTCGTGGCCCTGTTTGTGGCCGTGTCCAAGGAAGAAGTTTTCCTGGTATTAATTATCTCCCAAAGAAAAATAACTACCACAAGTGAAAAGGGAAAGATGAGAAGCCAAAAGCAAAGGGTTCAGAAACTGAATGCTATTGTTGCGGTGGAAAAGGGCATTGGGCAAGTATTGTTGTACACCAGGACATTTGGTTGAATTTTATCAAGCATCTCTAAAGAATAAAGGTCCTTAAGCTAATTTTGTCTATGACAATGAATTTGACATCACCCACTTGGATGCGACAGACTTCTTTGAGCACCCTCATTAAAAAATAGACCATTTGATCGGTGATGGATCCGTGATTAAAGATAATTGATTAATTTAATTTTTATTTTTGCCTATTCGTAATAGCTAGTGAATAAATATCCTGTAATCACAGTTCTTTACGTGAGTAGTAATCATTAGTATCATTTATTTATGAAATAGTTTTAGTTCGTTTTGATTAAATATAGGTGTAGTGTTTTTTTTAACAATGTTTGAGTTCGCCTTATTCGTCATGCGAGTTGACTATTGGTTTACAATCTCTTGCATATTCAGCCAATGTTTCTTGCTGAGACCTTGATAACTAAAACAATTTCATATTAATGTGAAATGCTGACTATATTTTGTATGCTTTCGTTCTTTTACCATTAAGGTGCTTAGTTGCATTACTTGCATTGGTATCTTTGGTTTCTGATCTAGTTGACAATACACGTATATGAGGTTAACATAAATTCCTTCCCTTTGGATATTTGCATATATTAGACCCAAATGGCTTTTGAATTTAATGTTGCTATAGAAAATATTAAGAGCTACTGGAATTAATTTTACGGCAGATCAGATAACAGGATTGGACTAGTAATTAAGCACTAAATAACTGGTTACTAATTTTACATATTTCGCCAATATCCATCTTCATGGTACTTGTTCTATGGATGTATTTAGAGTTTAAAAAAAATTAGTAATTATTTGTATCATAATCAGAGATTGCTCGAAATTGCGTTAAAAAATCATTATTGAATCATTGATTTAACTTTATTTTTTTCTCTCTGAAATGTCTATTCATATATTTCTTTTGTATATCAAACCATGGGAAGCAAATATGGATATCTCTCAAAGCAAACTTGGATCAAAGTTTAATTGTAAAAATATTTGTTTAATTGATTCATGTACCACACATACAATATTCAAAAAGAAGAAATATTTCTCTCATTTAAGTATGTGTAAGGCAGATGTTACTAAAATTTCTGGTAGTAGTAATCTAATTGAAGGCTCTGGAACAACTACTATAACTCTGCCTAGGGGAACAATACTTATCATAGATAATGCAATGTTCTCCTCCAAGTCCAAGAGGAACATGTTGAGTTTTAAAGATATCTGCCGAAATGGATATCATATTGAGACAATAGATGAGAATAATCTTGAATATCTCATCGATACCAAGAATGTCTCTGGCCAGAAAAGGGTGATCGAGAAGTCCATCTTTATCTTGTGGCCTGTATTGGACAAGAATTAGTACAATTGGGGCACATCGTAAACCAAAAGGTTACTAATTCTAATACTTTTGTATTTTGGCATGATCGATTGGGACATCCTGGATCAATTATGATGAGATGAATTATAAAAAACTCAAATGGGCACCCATTAAAGAATTTAAAGATTCTTTTAAATAATAATTTTTCTTGTACTTCTTGTTATCAAGGCAAGTTAATTATTGGACCATCGCCAACAAATGATGGAATTGAGTCCCCTGCTTTTTCGGAATGTATACAAGGGGACATTTGTGGACCTATTCACCCACCTAGTGGGTCGTTTAGATATTTTATGGTCTTAATAGATGCATCTTCTAGATGGTCTCATGTGTGCCTATTATCATCTCGAAACCTCGCATTTGCAAAATTAATGGCACAAATAATTCGATTGCGGGCACAGTTTCCCGATAATCCAATTAAGTCTATTCGACTTGATAATGCTGCTGAGTTTTCATCCCAAACATTTAATGATTATTGCTTATCAATTGGGATAAAAATAAAACATCTTATAGCTCATGTTCACACTCCAAATGGCTTTGCAGAATCTCTGATTAAACATCTGCAATTAATAGCAAGACCGTTACTTATGAAAATGAGATTTTCCAGTTTTGTTTGGGGTCATGCCATTTTGCATGCAACAATGCTAGTTCGTCTCAGACCGATAAATTACCATAAATATTTCCCGTCGCAATTAGTTTTGGGTCATGAACCTAACATATCCCATTTAATAATTTTTAGATGCGCAGTATATGTGCCTGCAGCACAGCCATATCGCACCAAGATGGTTCCCCAAAGAAAGTTAGGAATATATGTTGGGTTTGAATCGCCCTCCATTATTCTCTACCTCGAAACATTAACGGAAATTTGTTCACTGCTCAATTTGCAGATTGTCTATTCGATGAGGCATTTTTTCCAAAATTAGGGGGAGAAAATAGTGAAATCCAACGGGAAATTTTGTGAAAAAATTCATTATTGTCTCATCTTGATCCACGTGCCTCCATTTGTGAAAAGAGGTACAAAAGATTATTTATTTGTAGAAAATAGCAAATCAAATGCCAGAAGCATTTACGGATCTAAAAAGAATAACAAAATCACATACCCCTGCAGAGAATGTACCAATTCGTATTAATATCCCTGTTGGATAATCTTCTAATGTCACAACTAATGAGTCAACAGCACGCCTAAAACGTGGCAGACCATTGGGTTCTAAGGATCGAAATCCTAGAAAAATAAATAAATGATGAAGATGACACTATGAAAGAATCTTATAAAGAAATTCATGATTTAATCGATCTTGAGATTCATGAGGAAATCACTGAGCCTGAGACTCAAGAAAACAAGGAACTATAAAATAACTTAATCGATATTGAGACAAATTTGAATCGATTGGATATAGTGGTAGATTCTGTCTTTGCATATAATGTTGCATCTAGAATTATACAAGATAGTGATGATCTTGAACCTCATTCTGTTGGAGAATGTCGACAAAGACGTGATTGGCCAAAATGGCAAGAAACAATCCAATTGAGTTGGATTCGCTTGCGAAACATGAAGTTTCTGGGTCTGTAGTCCAAACACCTAATGGTGTTAAGCTTGTTGGCTATAAATGGGTCTTTGTACGTAAGAGAAATGAGAAAAATAAGATACAAAGACATAAGGCACGCCTTGTTGCACAAAGATTTTAACCAAGGCCTGGTGTCACGACCCCAATTTTTCTCTGTAGGATGTCGTGATGGCACATAGTCTCTAAGACTAGGTAAGCCTAACATTCATGCAAAATATAACAAAAATAATAATAATTAAAGTATCAATAACTCAACAACTAGTATAAAATAAACTCCGCAATTCAGTATATACAACTTCCCAAAACCCGGTGATAACAACTCACAAGCTTTACAAATAAGTACTGATCATCCATATACAACGATGTGTCTTTAAAGGAAGAAATATAACAAACTAGATAGAGGGGGACTCCGAGGCCTGCGGACGCTGGCAAGTATACCTTGAAGTCTCCAAAGCCGAACTCGTCTCGTTAGTGCCTGGACTGGTAGGAGGTACCTGGATCTGCACAAAAAGATGTGCAAAAGCGTAGCATAAGTATACCACAACGGTACACAATAATTGCGAAGTCTAACCTCGGTAGAGTAATTACGAGGTCAGGTCAAGGCTCTACTGTAATAAATAAGAAACAGAACGAGTACTTAACAATATAATAAAAATAACAATGGAAATGAAACAAGTAAGAAATGCACCGAGACTAACTACACTGAACTAAAGAAAATAATGCATCACGGAGGAAAACAAGGAAGATGTTATGCCAAGGAAAACAAAGCAACCAAACACTAGTGAAGTAATAGAGAAGTATCAACAAGAGTCACTACCGAGGTACCGTCTCGTAGTCTCAAATTACAAAAAAATTCACAATCTTTCCTTATATAGTCGCGGGAGCCTTGTATTTAGTTTTAAAAATTATTTTCTTCCCGAAATAGCATCCCGCGTTTTAGCCCACCTTATCACACCGCGTGGCTTTAAGTAGTTCCCCTACTAGTAATGCGCGTATCAAGCTCACCTTATCTCACAACATGCGTTTCAACCCCAAAACCTTATAACACCGCATGTGTATCAATATCACAATGTATCACAAATCGCACCTCAAGTGCCCAATATTACAACTTGCCAAAGAAATAAATAATAACGGTTTTTTTTTTATAATAA